CTCTTTTGACCCCTACTAAGTTTAAGCTCAAATGACCCCAGCTATGTAGTTATCAGGCCTACTTTTAAAGACCCCTAAGGTAGGAGCCAGCACCACTTCCCTTGGAAGCTGTTTCCAGATCCTGGCCACCCTGACTGTGAAGTAGTGCCTCCTGATGTCTAGCTGAACCTCCTCTCAATCAGCTTGTGGCCATTATTCCTTGTTACTCCGGGAGGTGCTTGGGGGAACAGGGTTTTACCCAATCCCCTCTGGTCCCCCCTGTTAAATTTATAGACGGCCACTAGATCCCCTCTCAGCCTTCTCTTGTGAAGGCTGAACAGGTTCAGGTCCCTTAGCCTCTCCTCGTAGGGCCTGCCCTGCTGCCCCCAATCATGCGAGTGGCCCTCCTCTGGACCCTCCCAATGCTGGCCTCATCCCTCCTGAAGTGCAGCGCCCAGAACTGGACACAGTACTCCAACTGTGGCCTGACCAATGTCGCATAGAGGGGGAGGATCACCTCCTTGGACCTGCTTGTGATGGACCTGTGGATACATGACAAGGTGAGGTTAGCCTTGCTGACTGCGTCCTCACATTGGCGGCCCATGTTCATTTTGGAATCGATAATGACTCTAGGATCTCTTTCTGCCACTATGCTTTCAAGAATGGAGTTCCCCAGCCTATAGGTATGCTGCTGGTTCTTCCTGCCCAAGTGCACTACCCTGCACTTGTCAATATTGAATCCCATCCTATTCACAAATTGCCCACCCCTGTAACCTGTCCAGGTCCAGTTGTAGCCTGTCCCTCCCTTCTAGCTTGTCCACCTCGCCCTAAATCTTAGTGTCATCAGCGAATTTGAACAGGGTGCTTTTCACCCCCTCATCCAAGTGACTGATAAAGAAATTGAACAGTACAGACCCAAGGACCAAGCCCTGGGGGACTCCATTGCCCACCTCCCTCCAGGTCAAATATGACCCATCCACCACCACTCTCTGGGTGCAGCCCCCTAGCCAATTTGTGACCCATCTGACTGTGTAGGCATCAGTGCCACAGTCACCTAACTTTTTAATGAGAATGAGGAGGGAGACAGTGTCAAAGACCTTCCTGAAGTCCAGAAAGACTACATTTACCGTGACACCTGCGTCCGATGATTTTGTGACCTGATCATAGAAGGCTGTCAGGCTGGTCTGACAGGACTTGCCCTTAATGAACCCATGCTGGTTGCCTTTGAGCATCCTCCCCTCTGCTGGTCCCTCCCAGATGTGCTTCTGGATAATTTTTTCAAAGAGTTTCCCCAGGACCGAAGTAAGACTAACGGGCCTATAATCGCCTGGGTCCTCCCTCCTCCCTTTTTTGAAAATGGGGACCACATTGGCCTTCTTCCAGTCTTCTGGCACCTGGCCAGAGCACCATGAGTGCTCGTAAAGCTGTGCCAGGGGCCCTGCGATGACCCCTGCCAATTCCCTCAGCATCCTGGGGTGGAGAACATCTGGACCTGCTGATTTGAATATGTCCAGCCCCTCCAGAAGTTCCCTAACTTGGTCCTCCCTGACCCTAGGCCTAGCGGAGTCACTCCTGAGTCCACTCTGTATCCCGGTGGGGGAGACGTCCCGGTCCCTACTCAGAAAAATGGAGGCAAAGAATTTGTTTAAATGGTCTGCTTTTTCATCTGGTGCAACCACCAGATTGCCAAGTGTATCCTGCAGGGGCCCCATGTTGCCTGGTGCCTTCTTTTTGCTCCCTATGTATTTAAAAAAGGACTTTTTGTTGTCCTTGATCCTTGTTGCTAGCCCTAGTTCCATCTCCACCTTAGCCTTCCTAATAGCCTCCCTACATACTCTTGCTATGGAGGTATAATCCTCTGATGATAGCCCACCCCCTTCCACTAGATGTGCGCCTCCTTTTTGGCCTTCAGACATTCCTGAATGCCTTTGGTGAGCCAAGGGGGCTTTTGAGCACTCTTGCCCCCTTTGACTCGCGTTGGGACTGTCACCCCTTGGGCTCGGAGGATCGTCTCCTTAAGGAACGACCACTCATCCTGGACACCTAGTTCCCCTACTCTCCAGAACTGCAGTGCCTCTCCTACCAATCTCCTTAACTCATTGAAGTCGGCCCTTCTGAAGTCAAGGGCTGCTGCCTTGCTGCAGGCCCTTGACATAAGGCACTGGATGGTGAATTCCAGTAGGTGATGATTGCTATCGCCCAGGTGGTCGAGGGCCTACAGTCCCCTCACCAGGTCATCACCTGTGGCCAGGACCAGGTCCAGCAGGGCATTCCCTCTGGTGGGACTGTGCACCTCCTGGGTTAGGTAGAGGTCTTGTATCCCAACAAGAAACCTACGTGAGCGGTCAGACCTGGCTGACTGCTTCTCCCAGCAAATGTCCAGGTAGTTTAGATCACCCATGACGACCACATCCCTTGACTTAACTGCCTCCGCAAGAATTCCTGGTCCAGCACTTCCCCCTGGTTGGGTGGTCTGTAATAGACACCCACCGTTAAGTCCCGCGACCCCCTTGTTGACCCAGAGCACTTCAGCCTTCCCCTCCTCTGACCCCATCCTGTTAGTTGAGGACATGTATTGCTCTTTGATGTAGAGCGCCACACCCCTGCCTTTCCTCCCTGTTCTGTCCCTCCTGTATAGTCTGTAGCCCATAATGTTTACCGCCCGATCATGGGTTGAATCCCACCAGGTTTCAGTGAGCCCTACTATGTCTGGTTTTGTACTAGCTATCCGGAGGGCAGGTTCCTCCTGTTTATTCCCCATACTTTGAGCATTAGTGTAAAGGCATTTAAGGCCTTCTCTTGGTGCATCCCCCCCGCCTGATTCCTAGGACTATCTGGACACTTGTCACTTACCTGGGTACCTCCTGTGCTCGTCACCTGCTTTGGCTGGGAGGTGTCCTTGTGTCCTCCTGTGGCCCCATCCCACTTGTATCTGAAGTCATCCTATTACATCTTCTGAAAGGTAGAGGGAAGCTGTAGACTTTTCTGCCTTCTAGATTAATTTTTATTAACACCATTGACTTCATATATAGAGATTTTTTAAAACAAAACTTTTTTTTTAGGAATACATCCATAAGACTGCATATAATCAGGCTTCAGCTTTTTGGCAGATGTGTTGCATGTACATGTTCTGTACAGAACAGTGTTTTTAGGAGAGGTGTACATTCTTGAGAATTGGAATGAATCTGTAACAGATCTTCATCTAGAAGAGAAGGTGCTGCTGGAATTGGCTTCTTAGAGAGTTTGTCGTGAGATAAAAAGCTTTCATCTCCAGGTCAATAATTTTAATCCAGTTTGGATAATTGGGGATTAGCAGATGTTAGTCTATGAGAGATGGTGTTTTTGCCCTAAGTGTTAGTGGACAGACGTTCATTGACTATATTCCTATCTGCAGTAAACCCTGCATAAAGCCCCACTGATGTAATCTAGGATGTGTATGGCTGCTGTTTGACTTTCACTATGGAGTTCAATTTGGTCTCACCTTATTGCCACTCTGAGAAAGACAAGGGACTGAGTGGGCTTTAAGAGTTATTCATATTTTTATCTAATGGTGATGCAACCACAACAGAAGTTGATGCAGGATTGAGTTCAGTGCTTGACTGAGGTTTACGTGCTCTGTGAGTAAACTTAAGCTATTGGTCAAAGGTGCAAACTAGTGATTCTCAAAGGGTGTGCCATGGTGCAATAGTGTGCTGCAACAGTGATAGAAGTATGCTGTGAGATCCTCCTGTGTGAGGAGGTGAATGCCCTCCTCCCCTGTCCAGCACCCTGTGCCTACCACAGCTACCCCAGTGGGAACTGTTGCTACTCCTCTGGGAACTGCCACCATTGCTGCTGCCTCTCCCCTGCCCTTCCCTGCCACAGGCAGCCCCTGTGCCATCCTTCCCCAGCTCCCAGCAGCATGCTCTGCTGTGAACAGGTGAGTGGGCAGATGTATAGACGGAATCGTGCTTTGCAGTCTGGTTCATCACCTCTACTCCTCATTTGCTCTTGGGGCTGGCAGGAGGGGATGCATGAGTGATTTTCAACTTTTTTAGCCTTAAGGCCCCCCTCCAGGTCTTTTCTGAATTTAGACCTGGTTCAGTGATTTTCAGCTGCAAACTTCAGAAAAATTCTGGAGCAATTTTTGTAACTGCAACTCAGCACCGGCATGGTTTCCTCTGGCATGAGAGTAGAATACACTATATTTTTTAAAAGTGTGCGTGTATGAATATGCACATGTATGCACACACACACACACACACACACACACACACACACACACACACACACACACACACACACTCTCCTCCCCCCTTCTCTCCCCCATAACCCTTTTGGGTGTAAAAGTGATGTGTGCAGCCAATTTTTAATCCAGAAAAAAGCATGCCCTAGGTACCAAAGTTTGGGAGACACTGATGTAAACAGTTCAGCACCTTCCAAAAGTAAGCAGTTTGCTTTGTAAAAAACCCACAGCATTGCTATAATTTATTCATATGGTGTATTATTTGGTTTGGTCTGGGTAAATATACAGTAGAATTAACTGAAATATTGTGTTCTTACTGAGCATAAAGTAATTTGAGTCGTAATAATACTGTGTTAACTACTATTTCAACAGCTCTAAAATTGACCTACACATTCTTGTTTAAAAGTTCAGACTTCAGTTCAGGGGTAGGCAGCCCCTGACACAGGTGCCAGAGAGTGGCATGCAAAGGCATTTTACTTGGCACACTTACCTTGGGGTGGATGGTGGGGAAGGGGCCAGGGTTGTGCTTCCACAACAACGGTTGGGCCCCTCATGGCTCCCTTGCCATCCGTCCTGGCATGCCTACAACTTACAAGTCAAGGTCGCAGGTGTTTTTGGTGCTCTGCCCAAAAACATTGCTGACCCCTGCTTTAGGTAATAGTAGATCTGACACTTTTAGAACACATTTTTTGGTATTCAAGTACTACATAGTTCAATCTGTTAACTGCTGAGAACATTTTAAAAAATCAGCGAACACATTTTCTATATTGAATGCCTTTTTGTTTATTCATTTCAGGTTAGCGCTGTACGTATATGAATATCTGCTCCATGTAGGAGCACAGAAATCTGCCCAGACGTTTTTATCAGAGGTATGTATGTTTCCCATCTTTTTCTCAGTTTTGATAGCATATGGAAATAAAATAAATACACATTTTAAAAAAGGCAAAAACACACACTAGCTCTTTTGAGTTTGTTTTTGCTGATCAGGTTTTCTATACCTTTCTTTGGCATACCTGGGTCCTTGTCTATTACCACACAAAAGAAATGTCCCTTTTGTTTTCTGAAACAGGTGTAGCATATAAAGAATGCATCTGTTCGTTAGTACTCTTTTGGAATGACCTGCATGACTCGCTCCTGTTTACATCATATGTCAATAATGCACTTATTCCGAACGCATAACAATTATGCTACATCTTGTATTTTCAGGTTCATTTGGTATTCTCCATATACGCTATATGTAATATTGACCAACACTGGTCTTGGTGCATGCATTTAACCTTTTCTTTTCATTTGGAGAAATAACTATATATTTATTATACCTATTTGTGTCTTATTCCTTTAATCTTTTTAATTCTTGATGGAACTTTTTCTTTTACCTTCTATTTATTATTTTTTTCTTTATAATATGTCTTAAAAGGCTTTGTAAATATTAAAAGGCTTTGAAAATCCAGGCAAAATATGTTTCCTCATCAGTTTATATCTCTCCTCAGAAAAATAAACTGAGTGCTAGACAATCAACTCCTATTTAAATGAATGAAAATATTTAAGTAAGCATGTTGACAACTGGGAAATGAGGAAAAACTTAGGAAAACCCCATTAAATAAGGAGCATGCAAAGTAATACTTGGAAAAGTTGGAGATCTATAAATCAGCTGTCCTAAAAGCTGATTGTCAGCTTCCGCAAAAGCTAACAAAATTATTGTGCTAGTGACAATTCTTTTTGAACAAATCATCGGCCACTGGCATTGCACCAGAAGTCAGGAAAAAAGCAGATTTGTGGTACTACCAGTTCTTTTGTTCATAGAACAGTGTTTCTGGCAGTTACTGTCTGGTATATCTAATTTCTCTGTAGAGTAATGGAAAAATAATTAAGAGAAAAATACAAAAGAGGATAATTTATGCTTCAGTAAAAAGTATTCATTTATGAAGGATAAATTTTGCAAGACAACCATTGCTTATTTTACTTTTTTGATAGATTTACAAAATGAGTGGATGAAGGGGAATGTAATAGATATGACATTTGGATTTTAAAAAAGCATCCTGTGGCATTGCTGAAAAACTTGCTTTCAAAATTAATTCAGATTTGAATATCTAGAAACGCTGAAATATAGACTAGTACTCTCTGAAGGATAGTGAGAAAGAAGCAGTGATAAATAGTAACATAATGAGTGGTGTGTGTTATCTATTAAATAATGCAAGGATCTTTGGGCTTATTTAACTACTTCATTAATGGTGCAGAAAAAGCAAACAGTATGTTGAATGCATTTGTAGAAGAAACTATATTGGGTAAAGTTGCTAATATCACTGGAGTAGTGACATAATGCAAATGACATAGAACACACTTCCAGGAGGAAAATAATCCAATATACACAGCACTCAACAGGGCAGAGAATCCTGGCAAACAGTAATGATGAAGGAGACAAAAAGAATGCTAGTAGGTATTAGGTTAGACATCAGTTTCCAATTCAGTACGATTGCTAAAAAATTTCAGTTTTTCCCTGTCAATTTCTGTATCGCAGGTAACAAAAAATAGTCCTTTTTATGTGTGAATCTGGTGCAACTGTATCTGAATTTCTACATTCAGTTGTGAACAAAGTGTTACTCATTTTTAAGGAAACATTAAAGGCCAGGTTTTCTGCCGTTCTTTGTCCTCTTTCCACTCATCCACGTGTGCAATAGGGCTACAATCTCATTGGGCCATGCCAGTTGTAGATTCTTATGCCCCTCCTAAGTCACTTTCTCTTCTGATCCCAGGTTAGGGAGCACATTCAATTGAAAAGAGTGTGGCTTGAGGTTCCCTGTGTTCTAGCATCTCTAGCTACTAGAACAGTCCCTTTGAGCATTTGTACACATGCTTGTGCTGCAGTGCCAGGCGCTTTTAAAAGTGCCTGGTGCTGCAGTGCATGCAGCTGTATAAGTGGTGAAATGCATGTCAGCACCAAAAAAATGGCAGTGCACTTTTGAACTAAAACATGTTGGAGAGGTTTTAGTTCAAAAGCACATCGCTGACATTTTCTGCACACTGATGCACATTTCACCGGTTATATAACTGCACGCTAAGCAGTTGGTGCGTGTCAGCTCCTATGCGGAGCAGACTCGATTAAATCGATGGGGTTACCAAGTGAGCAACCATTCCTGTAGGAAAAGAATGTAGGGTTGACACAGCAGAAGAATGGCTACTCCCTCTCCCTACCAAGCCTGGGCTACATGGTTTAAATGGCATATACCAAAACTTCCACACAAAAAAAGTTGTCTGCTCCGACCCACCAGATCTCTGGCGTGTCGCTGGACAAAAAGGTATGTGTATAAATGCCCATTGGCTGCTGAAAACTAATAGTTTAGATCCGCTCTGGGACTGAGAATCCAACCTTACAACATTCCGTGTGTAACTTAGATAAGCTAGATATAGCAGACTACAAAAAATTAGAAGAGCGTAAATGACAAGATACAGAAATACTATTTAAGGTAGAAGAAGAGAATATAACTAAATAATGGGGCAAAATTAAAGCTTTCCTATACTGAGATCATGTAGAATGTAAAATATTGTCCCAAGCTAACTGGTTGTTTAACTTTCTCCAAATTTTGTGATACTGTATTCTTAACTAAACTTTCCTAGAACAAAGATTCACCAACAAGTAAGTCCAAAATCCTCTTGGAGTTGTTCATAGTTATAGCATGAGGTGGGCTGTAGACCCCTGGGCTAAGTACAGATTGAATCGATTCAGCCTTGAACTTTTTGAGCAGTCTTTGCAGGTTAGTCTAAACTGCAGAGATTAAACTAAGAAACAACTGGACATGTTTACTTTTGAGTCAGGAAATGTAGCTACATGCCTGTAGTGGCTCAGGCCAGAAGCCATGGGGCACTAGAGCATGGCTGTTTGGCATGTAGCCAGCATGGACTCTGTTCGCTTCTCTTCCTGCTGCCCCAGGGGTCTCAGGGATTTGCAGTCCAGAATCACAGCAGCAAGACTGCAGGGTCGGTCATCACTTCTTCCTGCTTCCAGGCACAGGCAGGGGCTGCTTCCAGGTGCCTCTGGGATTTGTAGTCCTCAGTCGTAGCCAGCAGTAAGTTTGAGTGCGGGAAGGGGTGTTTAATCCCCCTCCCTGGCCCCAGCCCCCAGCCAGGGTTTGCATGGGTGGGGCAGTGCCTGCCTCCCCTCTCAACTCTTGTCTGCTGGAACAGACAGCACAGCACGGCCCAGCCCAGGGCTGGAAAGAATGCCGGGATGCCAGGGAACTGTGATTTAACTTGAACCAGTAAGGGGTCTGGGACAGAAGTTTCATAAACCAGTTTGACCTAAATCAGTTAAGTCTTATCTTAAACCAGTTTCAGCCATTTTGAAACTGTTTTATGTGCACTGGACATTTCTATTGTTCTATTTCTAATGTTCTATTGTTTCTGATGACTTAAACCAGTTTGTGTGTAACTTCTGTCCTTACCGCTGGAGTTCAACCTTCCTGAGATGCTTTGCTTTTTCCTCTTTATAAGATAGCATTCTCTGGTTCAACCACTCTGACAGTGAGGCTCTGGATTAACCACTTTGTTGACCAGCTGAATCTCCTTTATCAAGTTAGTTTGAAAGTTAGTTGGTTCCTGCAAGAAATTTCCTTGTAGGAGATGTGACTAGCAGCTAATTACAGTGACTACAAGAGGTTTTTCTTTTCTTTTTTTTTTTACCCAAAGGCATATAACAAATAAAGAAAAGTGACTGAAATAGCAAAAGATCTATGGTCATGGGTTTTACTTTTTTTGTGTGTGGAAGTTTTGGTATATGCCACTTAAACCATGTAGCCTAGCTTCTGGCTGGAGAGGCAGTAGCTGCTCTTCTGCTGAGTCAACCCCACATTATTTTCCTAGAGGAATGGTTGCCCACTTGGCTACCCTATCGTACCTAGACAAGGTTTTTTAAATGGTTTAGTGTCCCTGGATATTAGATCTCAGCCCTAGAAAAATAAACCTGTTTACTTATCTGAATTCAGGTAGGTAGGCAGGTAGCTCCTAATTAACAATCTACCTATTCTTCACTTAAGGACTCTTGATATTGTCCTTGAAGAGGTCTTCTCTCTGGCATTGTTTTGTTTTCTAATAATTCTTCGTAAAAGCCCTTTTGTACTTAAATCTGTGTTGTCAAACAGACTTAAGATCAAGCATTTTATATATATAAAATATATAAATTATATATAAAATTTCCTCATTCTTGTTAGGCTTCCTGTTTGAATGCCTTGACTAGGATGAAATGCTTCCCAGTGAAGAGAGCCAGCAGAAGCCCTAGGCACCAATTAAGTCCTCCTTAAGCCCTGTTTTGAAGGATTTACATAATGCACACAGCCCTTGTGAAAGTCCTTTACTTAGACATTATTTTTGAGCTTTATGAATGACTTCCTAGTGTTCAGGAACAAGTGTTACTTACTGTGCATCTACTCGAACACTTTACTTCCACACTTCTGAAGAATACCATCTATTCTACATATTTAACTTGAGTTCTTCAAGTTATTTGCAATGGATATGAGTAGTCTTTTATTTATATTGTTGATTTGACTTTTATTTTAACTTGGATTTTGCCTGATATAATATAGGTGGCATTTCCACATTTTAAACTGTTTTTTTCAACTGTTCTTTTTAACTGTTTTTATTTATTATTTATTTTTCATTCTGAGTGCTGTATAATTGGTTTCTAGTACTGACTTTAGCAGCAAAAGGAAATAGACCCAATAAGGGAAAAAATAAGTTTTGCAATCAGAAAATGGCATTTACACAGAACATCATACTTACATTAGAAGCGTTTTGTTTGTACTTGTAAGGGGCGACCTAACTGCTAGTATATATCCTCCTTCTCTTGCAAGTCATTAAATACTTGTCTGTATCAAATAATCTCTTCTTGAAAATCATGGATAACTGGGCCTTGGAATTCAGTGGAAGCTAGGTACCAAAATCTTTTATTTTCTTCTGCAAATCATATGATTAGCCATTCTCAGTTTTCTTAAGGATATTATTTATACACATCAACACTTTTCATACCAATTGATCCAAAGAGGTCACAACAGAAGGACACATTTCATCCACTCCTGACATGCTGTCAGTTCCCCATGTGGGGCAGAATGCTGCATATGTTCAGATAATAATACTTCCCCACAGTTTAGAACAGGAAGTAAACAATACTCCAAATGTAAGTGGAGAAGACATATATGATATAGAAACAGTCCTTGCTAAATTCCTATGTTTGGCCATCTCATTCACTTTGGCCAGACTACTGTTGAATTTTAGTTCAAAGCTCAGTGCTCTTTTATGTGCTGAAACATTTGTTCAATTTGGATGTGGAGGAAAGACTGCCACCTGCTGAATTGCTAACATTATTCCTGCAGCATTCCTTGGTTTTCCTTATAAATCTAATTCAGATGAATTTTATACATTTTTGAAGTTTTTTTAATCTCTCTCTCTCTTTCTCCGTCTGGGCCTTGCACATGTAGGCTTAAAGTAACACTTGAAATCTTTCCTTAGCAATGGAGAGATACATAATATAACATGCAGAATTTATTTTTTATTGGGCTTCTTTTTTGTGTTTTTTTTAAGATACGATGGGAAAAAAACATCACGTTGGGGGAACCCCCCGGGTTCTTGCACTCTTGGTGGTGGTAAGTGCTAATTTTCTTTCTTTCCAATTAAAGTGACTAAGAGTATATTGTATTTACTGGCCTTAAAACTAGGAATAAAGGAATTAAAGGAAATTTTATACAAAGCTATTGTATATCTTCAAGAGTAATTTGTGGGAAAATGAATGATAGAAGCCAACAATAACAGTTGATTCCCATAAAACAAACATGAAGCATAGCCATGTTGCTTTAGAGTTAATTTTTCAGTTTCACAATGAAGTATTTTGCCTGTAGTCTCCTTCACTCTATTTCAGGGGTTAGGAACCTTTGGCCTGTAGGCTGGATCTGCTTACAGACCCAGGGGGCTTTTTCAGTGGGAGGCCTCACTTGCACCATGCTGTGCTGTGGTCCAGTTGTGAGGAACTTCCCCCCTGCTATTGCCTGGCAACAGGGAGAAGCAGATGCAGCAGTGGCTGGGTCCCAGTGCTGAGTTTCCTCACACCTGAGTTGAGCTGTTCTGACCTGTGGCCACAAAAAGATGATTGAGTATTGCTTTAGTTGGCTTTCAGTATTTTTTTTTAAATCTTGCTGGGACAAGGATAATTACTAAAATGACAGTGTTAGCACATTATATTTTACATCAAGATGGACAAATTACTTTCTTTACATTGAGTCTTTCAGTAGCATGCATTTAAACTATAATTTTCATATTGTAAATAATGCGGTTTAAAAAGATACAGGGGGAGGTGACATACTTTCTTTACTCTGTCATAGAAACATGACATGAAATTACTGCCTTTGACTCTGGTTCACTTTAGCAAATAAATGTGTACTTAAGCTTAAGAATATGTTTAAGCCTGCTGAAGTTGAAATATGACTTAAGCATGTGTTTAAATACATTGGTAATTGGGATGGACTTAAGCCGAGGGTAAAAACTTCAGGTATTTTGCCAAGCACAGCAAGCTAAGCCATAGAAATATCTTAAATTGGCATCATGCAAGTCTACAGATTATATTTCTTCATAAAGTTATCCATTACCTCTAACAAAAAATGACACCAAAGTGCTTTATACTTTTTCACATAGAATCCCACTTTCTTACATGTATGTATGTCTGTGTGTATAATGTCCCAAAGCAGCATGTTGGGATAATGGAAGAAAACATAATTCATAACCATTGCTGTTCAGCTATGATATATTGTAACCAACTGAAGACTCCACACACTTTTGATGTGTGTACATATTTTATGAATGGATAATCATGGCGAATACTGGCAACAAATGGCGCTTGTACATGTGATGGGAGGTTTTATTCTATGCCCCCTAAATTGAAGTGGGGCATAGAATAAAACCCCAAGGTCTAATCCATTTAAATTTTTCTGTCACAATTTGGTGAGGGGCCTGATCCTATTTTTTTTTCCTTTTTTGGTGCTGGTGCCTACTCGCAGCCAGGGGGTGAGCTGGTGGTAGGCCAATCAGCCCCTGAGCTGTGGGGTCCCCGGTCCTTCCCTCTAGAGTAGAAGTGTTCCTGGGGGTTGCCCTAGTGGGCTGGGTGCTGCCCCAGCTTGGAGGCAGCACCTGGCTGGATCCAACGCTTTCCCAGCCCTGCCAGGGGTTCCAGCGCCCCATGCACTGTTCTTGCTGCCTTCCCCCCACTGGGACCAGGCTGGCTTGCCCCTGGGGCAGCACAGGTGTGCTGGGTGTGCTGGCGGTGGGGATGGTGCATGGGGCACAGGAAGCTCACTGAATCCAAGCTTCCCTGAGTTTGCCTGGGCTTCCAGTGCCCTGTGCACCATCCCCGCCACCTTCTCCAGCTGCCAGCACACCGAGCCACCCTCCTGCTGCCTCCCTGTGCTGCCCCAGGGGAAGCCAGCCCATTTCTGGGTGGTCCCAGGTGTCAGGAAGGGGGTGAGGACCATGCACAGGGTGTTGGAACCCCAGCAGGCTCGGGTAACAGTTGGATCTGGCCAGGTGCGGTCTCTGAGCTGGGGCAGCACCCAGCCACTAGCAGCCTGCCTGGGTGGCCCCGAGAGGTGCTGCCACCGCAGAGGGAAGGACTGGGGCCCCCCGCAGCTCAGGGGCTGCTCAGCCCGCTGGCAGCTCACCCCCCTGCTGCAAGAAAGATGGACAGACTTTTCCCCAATAAAAGAAAAAAAGGATCAGGCCCCTCACTGCTGAAGGCAGTAGTGACAAGGGGCCTGATCCTTTTTTCAGCACAACCTTCCCGCCTCTCCTGTGGCCAGGGGGCAAGCTGGCAGCTACATCATTGCAATTTGCAAAGTTGCAAACTAAACTACATCTGGATATAGTTTGCAACAATGAAAAGTCATTTAAAACCCCCACAAGTCTTGCATGCGTACATTGTGATGCCAATAAACCAGACAAAGTGACATTTTCATCACGTGTACATGTTAATGGTGTCAGGTGTACAAGTGCCCAAAGGATAAAGGTAGAGGTGAGATAGTAGTTCCACATGAATATAAGAAAGGATGGAAATTTTATACTTGTGTCAAGTGGCACAGTCTCTACCAAACTTTTTAGAGCTTCGTTTCTGAAATTCTATAAAGAAATGCTGCTCCTTATGTCTCATGACCTGTGCGTTCAGCTTTAATTTTGATTGCCTGCAACAGAGTTTCACTGGCCTGAGTAAAATTTTCCTAACCTATGAAGTATTGTGCTATGCAGATGAGCAAAAGGTAAATCAAAGGAATTTCAGTGTAGTTCCATAAGGACACAGATAAACTTCTGTTTTAATTTATTCTTCCAGAAGTTTTCCTGTACAGTAGACAAGTTGATTTCCAGAGCCTTGAGTTTAAGAGCTTCAGTTTTCCTGCCATGATAAAATACTCAATACTATTTCTGAATATTGTTCATTTTTCAGTTAATGCTGGTTAACAAAACTAAAAGGTCAAAAGTCTGTGGGGCCCAGTCTGTGGGCCCAATCTGGACTGCGACTTGAAGACTAGTCTCGTGCCACTTATCTCAGGGCTGGATGAGTTTGACATCTCTATTTTACAGGATTATGCAAAGGCAACAAATTAACTTGTAACAGTTGCTGCACACTTTTGAGAAGCTCTCCCTCCAGTTGTAAAACAGCCAAAATATATGGTTTTGTATATTCTAAATTCCAGCAGTTCTGGTGTGCTTAGATTACAGCATAGTGGTATTAAAGGGACAAAGTATCAGAAGCTTTGGGAAAGTATTATCAGAGGATACTTTCTTACCATACAGGGGCGTTATGAGGATTAATTCTATCGATCAGTGTAGAAGTCTGAGATTTTTGGATGAAGGTGTAAGGTGATTTTTATATAGTGTGTGTGAGTGTGCGTGTGCGTGTGCGTGTATAAAGAGAGAAATATAAAACATAATAATTTCCTTTCTGGTTCCATAACTTATTATTTTCCACTTGTAGTGTATTTTGGGATCTATACTGTGCAGCTCCAGAAAGACGAGAGACATGTGAACATTCAAGTGAAGCTAAAGCCTTTCATGATTATGTAAGTTTACTGAATTTTGTTTATTTTATATATGATTATTTTAAGGAATGATTTATGTCTGGGTGGGTTGTAAATCAAAGAAGTGTATACCTGTCTATACACCCTGCTTCATTCAAGTACTCTGATTTGTTTTCCATTGATGCTTCAGAATTAGATTGTTTTTTGGGAATTTGCATCCCTAAAGAAGGTAAAATCCTCATAATGTCCTTGCTCCTTTTAAAAGAACATATCTTGTCACAATAATGGACATTAAGAAGTGAGTTAAACAAAAAAGACCAAATTATCAGGCCCATGGGAGGAAAAAGGAGAAAAAGAAGGCTTAGGCCAATTTCCTAGTTCTTTGATTTAGTCTGACAACTTAAAGTGGTCTCAGAAATGATCGAAATTGCTTTACTTCTCAGTGGCCTGAGAAAGCTGTTCCAGTGACTTGGAATAGCCAGAATATAGTAAGATGTCCTAGGAGGGCTGTAGCAGGACCAAAAATCTGGTCTATGGTGTTTGTTTTAAGGTTGAGTTTCTTCAGTTTGTTTGCTGATTTCAATTAACTTTTGTATGGAACAACATCTTCTGCAATAAATATGAAGTAGACTGCTTTACAGATAGTTTAATTTGCATAATTTGGCAAGTTAAATGAATCGGCAGAGCAATTGCAAAGTATTGAGCCTTTAGTCTCTGTGTTGTCTGAAGAATCCTACATGTTGACCCAAAATGTCATCAACAAGTGACTTGGTGTCTTAAGAGTATGTGAATTAGTGGTGATCTTGATTCCATTCCTTGTTAACAGGAAAATGTACCACAAAACCATCAGCACCACAGTTAGTGCTAACTGTTATCCCCTGCAAAAAAGACTAGGAACATTGTATCAACTCTTTAAAATATCCTTCTGGTTAGGACTGAGGCTATTTGGCTGAGTAGCATACATTTTGTGCAGTGGTTGGTTGTTGTGCGGAGGAATTGTTGTGTGTTAATTTTTCTTCAAGGCTACCAGTCCTGCACTTCCATGAGCAATTAAACAAAATGTAGAGAGGGATGACAAAAATAAAACTTAAATAAATACCACCTAGGTGAGGTTGTATCAACTGACTTTTCCTTCTGAGAGACTTTTTTTAAAGCTACTGAAAGTAGATCACATTTCTATAACTTAGCTTCTTGTTTAGTTTTTAGCACATGATTATTTAATAGTACAATATTTTGATAAATTTGTGGTTTCATTTAACACTTCTTAGTTGAGAAATATTTAATCCGTCTGTAGGAAAGATTGCATTTCTGATGATTATGACTGCAGGGAAGAAAGAACAGTGAAATAAATGTAGAGAGATAAGAGTCCCCCAGAGTCACAGTCTGATCATAGCAAGATATTAGACAGTAATAACATAAAGAATGTGCCAAAATGAAGTTTAGAAACTCTAAAAATTGTTTTGAAATAATTTTAAAATGAAGTTTGTTGTTAGAAATACTGTCAATAAATATAATACTTGGAAATGGAAAGTGGGTTGTCTTAAGACCTTTAAAATCATAAGTTGACTGTTCAGTCTAAGTTTTGCAATAATTTATGGAGGATTTCAGTGGATGAATCAAAATAATATCTAAAAATTGTTTTTAATTTTAGCATTACCTTTAGATTGTTATAAAATCTATTATACTGGGTTTGTTATTTAGTTTTATAGTTCATTTTGTTTTGTCTGTTGTTCATTGTGTCTTCATTAAAAAAAGATACAATCAAATTAAGTTTTTGTATGAAGCAAATATGTACTTGCGTGGACTCCCTAAATTACTATGAATAGGCTGGTCTAAAGTAAGATGAAAAATGGAGAAGTGGTGTATATGATATGCTCCTTTGTTTTCATCATCCTGTAAAAGGCAGGACAATCATGTGATCTTCCATATCAACCAGGTTTAAAGCAATTTTTTTAAAAATTGAGGGATGATAGTATTACTTTTTAAAGTTTTACTACATTTAAAAAACACTGTTTTCTGGTAATCACATTTGAATTGGCAAGATAAAATAATTGGAGGTAAACTGTTGAATGGTGCTAGTTTATAAGTGCATTTATGTATTACTGCTACTACTTGCTTTGGGGTGCAGTGGCAGTGATTGAAACATCTTGCTATGGCACTCATGGGGTTAATTTATACCCCGCCCTGGATTTGTGCAAATGGCTTCCCCCAATATAGTAGTAAATGGGTACTGACCATTCAGACTGAGGAGGCAGAGTCATCAGAGAATGATGCTAGCCGTTGACTACAGAGACTGGTGTGCATTAAACATTAGCCCAATTAGTTGTTTGACTTGACGTTACCTGCTATGAACTTCTCTATCTCATGATGTGTAATGGGGTAATTGTTTTTAAAGGTTTTTCTAACTTGCTGTCACTGGGATGTGTGCTGTCTTTAATGTGATAGAATGTGATATGCTATTCCATTTTTTTTTTTTTTGCGAAAATCAAAATAGATTGTCAGTAGGCATGACTATGACCTCTCACAGTATTAATACTATCCTTTGGTTTCATCTGTATTTTTACCTAATGTAATCAACTAGACTATGGTAAACTTGTTTTTGAAATATAACGTCTACTTTTAGGATCTAAGTTCTCTCAAATGCATTTTACATTCATATTGAAGCATATGGAAATAGTATGGTGGTAAAATTCAGTCTAATATAATACTACAAAAGTCAAATACAAATGTTTTTAAAGGCTCTCTGAAGTCCGCACCACTGAGAATTTTGTCCTTGACTTCAGTGGGTCCAGGATTTTACCATAAATATTAGAATTCTAGTCTGTGGTTGAATTTAAAGGCTTGGATAATATCAAACCCCATATCTGGATTTAACAATAGGCATTCAGTTATGCAACATGTCTATTTTATGTGGTAATATCAAAAACCTTTAACTGTCACAGACAAAAAAATCCACAGGAGTCTAATCTATTAATTCACATGTAGTGAAAGGAGTTTTTATTTAGTCTGTGCCGTCTTAGTTAAAGAATTTTTTTTCCATTTAAGGTAAGAATATCCTTTTTTCATAAAATCCATCATTAATAACATGGCCAGGTACAGGTGTTACACTTTTACCAGTATAAGTGATTGGAAACCAGTCTATACCCATAACAGAACAGAAGTTCAGCATACAGAGACTGGTTTTAAAATGGTGAAAACTGGTCTAAGATGCCCGCCCCCCTTCCGCCTCAGACCATGCCAGAACAAGAAATGTAAAACCTGCCAACACATCTCCAACACTCTCACAATAACTACACGCCACAACAGAACCTCACCTTTCCTGGATCTTAGACCTGCGCCTCCAGAAATGGAATATATCTCGTCCAGTGCACTAAATGCCTTGATGGAAAATATGTAGGAGAAACCAAACAACAACTGCATACCAGAATGAATGAACACCGTAAATCTATCAAAGACAAAAATACCCAATTACCTGTGGGTGCACACTTCTCACAGGACAACCACTCTCTCTCCAGTCTCTCAGTTCTACTCCTCAAAGGGAATGTACAAAACACCTTTTGTAGATGAACCTATGAACTTCACTTCATAAATCTACTGGATACAAAAAATCATGGACTAAATATAGACATTGGATTTATGGCACATCATAACCTGCCTAACATCTGATAACCCCAGGTAACCTGTCTGCATTTTACCAGCTATGTTCTATCCTTAGTTCAACATTCCCCCTCCTGTGCCATCCCCCCAACCTGTCTAACACCTATTGTTTCCCATTCCCTCTGATCCTCACTGCCATGCATTTGCATTTTTACAGACCTGCACTTTGCATTTTGGTTTCTGTTCCACCCAGGAGAGTACACAAAACACCAACAGACTCTCCCTATGCCTGAAGAAGGACTTTTATATCTGAAAGCTTGCAAGGAACAATTTTTCCAACTATTTAGTTGGTTTAATAAAAGATATCACATTGGTACAAATAACCTTGTCTATGTCCCTAGACCAAGATGGCTACAACCAACAGCCCTCATTCTTTTAATTGAAATTTGAGATTCTGAAGTGTAATTCTGCAGCTAGGTGTGGCTTCTGTGGCCATAGAATATAATCAGGTATCTGCTTATCCTACACAAGGCTTTGTCTAATAATGGTATAAGTAATCTCTGCCAAGAGTGATACTTCCTTCTATTCTCAGAAGTGATGCTTCCTTAGAAGAAATCTGCAAAAGTGACATGGGGTCCTTTGAATACAAGGACACCAGTATTTTGTAGACTCAGCTTCTGACAGAATTATTTTTGAAAAGTACTTCCAGGATATTGGAAGGAAAGAATGCTACACAGACTGACACTGTCCCCTTGCAGAACAGTTCAAGATTAAATGATAATCATCATAATCAGTAATTTGCATAATCAGTACTACTACTGTTGCCCTTTTGTTCACATGCATCTCTTTCCATGCAGTCACTATTAAAACACTGCACTTTATGTATAAAAGTTGTTCAGTTTAAATTTGAGTAAGGCTCCTTTCTTCTTCTGGATCAATTCCACTCTAAGTAGATGTCCAACCTCCCAGCTTTAAGTATGCGTTAAGGTAAATTGGGGGATATTCTTGGATTGAGAAACTAACAGGAAGTTAAAGAAATCTAGGTTTTGCTAAGAAATAATTTAGATTTATGGGGGACTCATTCCTACTCACATATGATACACATGAAAACCCATGTAGTTAAAGACTGTCCTTGTATATTAGACAAATAGCATTAACAGTTAAGAAATTCTCTTTGATATAGTATTCCCTTCTTTAAATTAACTTTGTTACCAACTGATGTGCCTTTGGATTATTTACAAAGATAACTAAACATTCAATTTAATAGGTTAAAGGTTAAGAAATGTTATTAGCAATGCCTGATAGAATGTATAGATTAATGTTTTGTTTAAGAGACCAAACTTATCTCCTCAAGGTAGTAAACTGTTTAACAAAATATGGGAAAAGTTTGGAAATAATACCAAGAATTCTAACTATAAAACAGATAGCAGTGGCATGACAACAGA